GGATCCCTCCGCCTCTCAGCTCCGAATGCACATGCGCGGCAAGAGGCGAACGCGCATTTAAACCGCCCATAGGAAAGCATTACTCAATGCTTTCCTATGGACGTACAGTGTCTTCTCACTGTGATTTTCACAGTGAGAATCGCGGAAGCTCCTCTAGCAGCTGTCAATGAGACAGCCACCAGAGGCTGGATTAACCCTCAGTGAAACATAGCCGTTTCTCTGAAACGGCTATGTTTACAGCAGGCAGGATTAATGCTAGATGGACCTGGCACCCAGACCACTTCATTGAGCTGATGTGATCAGGGTGTCTGTAGTGGTCCTTTAAGTGTGTGTGCATACCGCGGTCACGGGGTCGCAGCCCTGCAACCCCTGCAACCAGGTGCCCACCGCCATGTGTTGCGGCCCCGACCCGCGCCGAGTAAGCGCGGGGGGGCCCACGGATCAATTTTCGCACCGGGGCCCCATGGATCATGTGTACGCCACTGCTCTCAGCCAATCACAATCTCCTATTGTTGTTCAAGACAAGCATCCTCATAACCCAAGCAGCACAGAGGGGATGGGCTGGGGGACTCTCATTTAGCATTAAAACATGAAAAGAAGTTTAACGGTGAATGTAAGAGCACTGCCAGGGCCTTCCAGACCTAAAACCACTTGAATGAGATGAAGTGGTTCAGTGTCCATTTAAGCCCAAGGAGAGACCAGGTTTTTAAAAGAAAAATCCAAAACATCTGCCTCTTTGACAAAATCTGGAACAGGTCACTTCCTTTTCCTTTTAATGGGAAGCAACACGCTGCCATATCTAATACAACCATTATATCTGAGCAAATTAGATTGCAAATGGCTCTCAGTATCTTGGTATACCAAGTACATACTAGGGGACTGTTTATTATCTAGGGTTGATGCTTTTCTGGTTACTATTTTACTATTAGTAATAGTCATATAATATTGGCAAATTGCCAGTTGATAGCTTTCAGAAACATATGAGTCTGAGCCCAAAGACTACTATAAGGCTCCACTCTGGGAGCACTCCGGTGCTGCCAATCCTAAACCTGATCTGTGAAACCTGGGTACTCGGTACTGGATGTTATTGCAGTCCCACTGCTTGTCCTCCACAACTAGCCACTATACCAGGATTTAGAAATGCACATGCATAAACACTGCACAGAAAGATATTAGAGCAATTCTTAGGGCAACGCTTCCTCTTGCATTTTCTTGATAAGAAAAAAAAAATTAAATTTTTGACCCTATTTAAAATTTTGTTCAGTTATGTGAATTATGGGTCAGAAAATAGCAAAATTGAAATACGTGCAAACATGGCAGAACTATGCTAGCTGCCTAGGATATTAGGAAGAAATGGCATTGCGGTATGATAATTTTATGTTTTGCATTGGCTATTTTTGTATACCTTGTAATTCTTTGCATATTCAGCAAGTCGTGAACATTGCATTCACCTGTCAGACAGGTTTGAGGCAAATCAGTTTAACCCATTCCTAACAGCCAAAAAAAAAAATGTGTCACATGAGTCTTTCCCTAAGGTGTGTAATCAGAACACATACAGGATTATTCCCTAAAGTGAGAATTCAAAGTGAATTTCAGATTTAATGCCAGAGTACCTGAAAACATCGTACTTAAATAATTTTTCCAGTTTGGCTATTTTGAACTTAAATCTTAAATTTACTTTGAATTCACTTCAGTAAATAACCCTGACGGTGATGTACATGAAAACGTACCATAGTTTGCAATTAGACATTGTCAAGTTTGTTCTTACAACAAAATACAATACAAAATAAAGATTTTCATCAAATGACAATTTCAAAACATTCCATATAAAATATTTATCAGACGATGAGTCATGACATGGAACACACATTAATTAACAATATGCTGCTTCAGAGCAGAGAGATAAAGTAGGTAGCATATGCTTTGTAAGAATAATTTGTATTGTATTACAGAGTAGGTACTGCTGCACTTGTCATAATGAGGGTTACGTATGAATTATTGATTAATTCATGTCTGTGTCATGAGTTCATATAGCATCAAGGACAACTTGCCTTTGGTTCCAAATACCCGCATGATCTGAGGTTTTTACATGTTACAGCATGGTATTGCAAAGGTCCCATTTGCTTCCTCTATGGTACACATTCATATACAGAGATATAATGGACCTTGACCAAAATAAAATGGTTGTTCCTGTTCACTAACATCATGTAATCCAACCTCAACAGCACCACCGTGAAGTAACTGGGACTTACTGAAAGCTATATTTATTATAAAACAATGACTTTCACAATTGAATAAAGTGCTTTTAGTGATCAAAGTGCAATTAATATAGTAAATAACTAAAATTTAAAAAAAACAAATAAATGAATGAACTTCCCTTCAAGAATAAAGAACCCCCTGGGGGGGCGGGGCCGGGCGGCCAAGCAGCATGGCAGCAGAACACCGTGGCTCCGAGCTTAAGCCCTAAACAACGGGTGGAGATTTACACGGGTGAGAGCTGCGGCCCCGCCCCCCCCGCCAGGTGGGGGTAATCCCGGCTACATGGAGGCTGCACGCCCTGGGGTGGACGCAGCCACCCGGGGTGCTCGCTGACCTCCTGCACAGGCACTGGCTGCCAAACCGCAGCCCACCTGATATCTACACTCGAAATTAAGGGACGATTATTGCCTACGCTACAGGATCAACGCGCACCCTGGACTTAACGGCCTACAACAGCCCTGCCTTGCCATCAGAAGCTGTTCTGTGGATGCAACACCCACGGGTGAAGTGGGGCCCCGGAGGCGATGCACGTGGGCGTGGGAGCCATGCGGGATGCTGCTGCGGTGTCCTTGGGGCCCACTGGCCGGATGCCGCGACCCTTGAGCTGTGCCCTGCGGAGACCGAAGTGCCATCACCTGTGGGTTTTGAGGAGGGCCTGCAGGCAGCTGTCCCTGACGCTGTGAGCCCTCGTGGAGTGGATCGCGGCAGCCCCCGGCGGACCGGTGGCTGTGGGGAGGCTGGCGCCCACCCCAAGTGGCCGGAGAAGGGTGAGACACAGGACGGCCTTCACCCTGACCATCTGGGGCCCCAGTGGTGCAGTGGGGGTGCAGGGGATTACTGACTGGCACACAGACTTTAGGTGGTGGGTCCTGTGGACTGGTGGGTCCCCGAGTGCCCGCTGTGCTGCAGATCTCCCGGATGGAGGCTTGGCGCGGCCTGGGGGGACGCCGCGGAGGCCTGGCGCCCCTGGGATCAGCCGCAATTGCATCTGCAGTCGGTTCCCCCCGCTCGGAGGGGTCGTATCCGTGGCCCCTCAATGCTTGTGGACTGAGTTGATACACGCTGTTAATGACAGGCAGCAGTAAATGTTTTTTTTTTTTCGTTTATTCACCATATAAAGCTGTACATTATGCAGCATCATGTCTTATCTACGTTATGCTCCTGTCTTATGCTTGATGGTCCTTGAGGACTGAAAAGCCTCAGTAATATGTTGATGCTATAATGTTGCCTGCTTAATATATTTTACTAGTCTTGCATACACTGTCCATGCAGCAGTGCCCATATGAGCTTAAGTTTAAGGTCACAAATTCTTAGATAATCTTATATTTGTAACACACGCAGACAAAACATATGTTATTTATTCATGATGCAAAAACTTGCTTTAACAACCGTTCCAGAGAAAGGGGCTAGATAAGAGATGTTGATTGCCTTTAAATGGTAATAGCGGGGACACAGCGCTTAAACGCGGTATCCTCATGCCCGCTTTAAGTTACGAAACATAAATCCTCGTAAAGTTGATGCGTGCTTAATATACAAGGCTACAGCATTTTATACAGGATGCTTGATTATATAACCTCTACCAGTACTACACTCATAGCAGCAATCTATATCTGACCACGTCTTATAAGTTAATTACTTTATTTAAATGAGCATATACACCTTTACATGCTTACATATTCCTATAATTTATTTAGCTATAAATATGCAAGATAGACAGACGAGAATCAGGCCAGGCAGCAAGGACATAACGATATGTTTTCATTCAATGTCAAATGATTATTAGATACCACGAACTTTGAACAATGCCTTCAAAAGAAAGATAACAAAAACACGCTTAACTGTGATCTTATATTAAACGCCGTAGAACAATAGACATGATTGATGAGCCTCTGCGTAGGCAACGATTTATATATCCGTTCATGCAATGAAAATCAGGCCTCTGCGCAGGCACTAACCCGCTTTAACTTGTTATACGTTTGCATTGGAAAATGTTGTGAAACAAATAAACATATTTAAAAAAAAAAAAAGAATAAAGAACCCCCTGAAGATTTCCTCAACAGAATCTTCAGAAATTATCAATGTATACAAATAGGGGATATGATGTCAGGGAAGACATTACACAACATAGTGCAAAACTGTATGTTTAAATTATTTGAAATATGTGTCAAATGGCCTCTTACAATTTGTAAGAGATAAAAATGCCCTCAATATGTTATCTGCGGATGTAGGTCTGTTCGCAGTCTTGAGCTTTAAATATCTCAGAGTAAGGAGAGACAAAGTGCAATCCAATTATAAGGCAACCAAAATAAAGTGCACAATGCAGATTTATTAACTTACATCGAAGTTGGAATACATTTATGTAAACGTTAGCATAAAGAGGTAAGTCCTACGCTTTTGTCCCATCCAGAGACTTCCTAAGGAACAAATCAATGTTGTACCAACAAAATACAAAGTGCATATAAACCACCTTGTGGCGAAAGTGATCTCGCCACTGGTTTTTGGAGGGGGCTGTTTGCCAGCCTCCTACCCTGTGACTATGGCCC